GTGAGTAATAAAATATCTTGGGAAGGAGGGGGAGTAGGTTTTTGCATCTTTGGCTTTGGAGGGGGAGGGGGGAGTACCTCTATAATCAGTGAGTACCTCTATAATCAGAAAACCATAGACAGTCAATAAATTATGAAGGTTACTAAACAATTAAGTGTAAATATTCTTGAAATGAAGTTTGAGAATTGGTTTTCACCAAATATTATTCTATCATTTTAGTGATAAAATAATTGAAAAGAAATGTACTCAAGAAAGCTCAGTAACTTAGGAAACATATTCACTATAAATGCACATTTTTTTTTAGAATAATTAAATATTTTAGTGATTAGTACTTTCATGCAATGAATGATGTCAATTGTATTTTTACAATTTAGGTTACTTTCTTTTCTTGTTCATAAGATACATAATAATATATCGTCAACAGTTACACATCTGTTCAACGAACATTATACATTTTGTTGTTTAATTTTATCGTCATATTGGAATTAATATCAAATTAAGGGAAAAAATAAATAAGGCCTCTGATACTAGCGCAATAAGCGGGAAAGGTATTTTTCCATAGACTGTAGCGTTAAAACGGCTCTAATGATTTTGATGAAACTTTCCTGTAGTCTCTGTCTTAATGCTTTATTAATTTATATACATGCAATATAAAATATCTACATCCACATAATACTAAAAAAATAGACATTATTAGGCAAATTTAAAAATCTAAAATTTGAATTATATCAGGTTCTCTAAAAAAAAAAAAAGAAAGGAAAGAAAAAAACATTAAAATCCAATCCGTATTAGTAAAACTAGGAGCAGTAGTGCGGGGGGGGAGGTGGGGGGAGAGCAAACGTGTAATAAACACAAAAATTAAAATTTCAATCATCCAAAATATATATAAATATAACTGTTTATTGTAGTTGATAAGCTGTAGAATAAAGTTACAAAATCGTTTAGAAGTTATGAGTGAGATAGTAACTGCTAAAGAATAACAAATATAAACAATTATACTAAATATTTTAACATTTTAGAATTTTAACATTGATGTTTTGTTAAAATTCATCAATATTCTTATAAATAAATTAGACACTTCGTTATTATTTACCCACGTGTTTACAAAATAATTGGCACAGACTCACACAAAGCGTCTAAAAAAATATTCCTTTAATTGCACACCATGGTTGCACACAGATAGGGGAGATTTCTAGTTTAATGAAAAATTAGCCCGGACCAGCTGAACAGATATTATTTTTGGCATAAATACTGTTGTTCATATTGTATATCATTTATGTAATTTCTTCACAAATTTTTTCCCTGCATAGATTAGAAAGGAGGAGGTTGGGTTTCAGCGTTGAATTTATTTTTGACGGGGCCTGTTTTTTTTTTAAACTATTTATTCAAGATATTTGCAACTGTATTACAGTATAAATACATCAAGTAAATGTGTACACAGGAATATAATCACATGAAAACGCTTTTTGAGAAACTACTCACTGGTAGCACTCTAATAATATGTCTATATAAGGAGATCACAAGGCCATCTTATTTTCAGACGCCTCGGAGGGTTATAAGGAATCGAAGAGGAAGCTAGGTTAGAAACGAGAGGATTCGGATGGTTATGAAGTTTATTAAGGAAGGATAGGTATCTGGCTTGGACCAAATCGCAAACATATTGAGCATTAAACTCATTATGGATTATTTTATTTGTGACTAAGTAAGGAGCATTGAGGATTTTACGAAGGATTTTGGACTGTAAGGATTGGATACGAGAGGCATTCGATGGTTTAGTGGAGCTCAACTCTGTAAGTCCAAATAGGTCTTAGTATAAGTATATTAATAAGTAATGTAAATCAGCATTTTGTAATTAATTGAATGTTTATAGCGTTTGTCTGGAAAATGTTGGAGAAAGCAGAAACGTTGTTAATCATGTTAATCATCAATGTTGAATTTCTAAAATGTTAAAATATTAAAATTTAAAAGAGTTTTAATATATAATTAGCATTAAATTTATTTTGGAAACGTGATTTAATATGAATTGTCAGATACAATTGATGCTTCTGTAACATTTTAATTTAAATTACAGAAAATATGTTTCTTTAAAAAGTTTTAATATTGTCTACCAATCATGGGAAAGGTTTTAAGAAAATGGGAATCTAATTTATGAAAAAAATGTGAAACATTTTTCTATAATATTGTAATGTTAGTAATAAAACTTTTATTAGATTTCATTAGTGATTTAGAAAATTTAAAAGCATTTGTCTCTTTTTCTTTTTTTTTTCCTTTCCTTTTTCCTTTTTCTTTTTTATCAAATGTGCGACCTTTAAATAACTAAACTTTAATAACAATAAACAACTTTTAACCTTAACGTACATTCTATATTTTTTTAAGTTTATCCAATTCCTAATATTTATTACCAAAAGATATAACAATATATAATTTTAATTAATGGTGTTGATGACCAACAGGTTCTAATACACAGCCAACCATTTGTTTGAAATTTACTAAAATATTCATCATCCACCTTCATAGTAATTTAGTAATCAACCATTGAGCATGCACCAAAGTTTTTATAATAATGTTTATCATATACATTAAATTTTTTTTTTTTCTACTCTTGTATCGGTAACGAGGTGCTTTTTTTCTTCATGGGAATTTAAAAAGCAATATTGAATTATGAAATATTCCTATCAATAAATTAGTTACCAAAGTATTTATACTGAAGTATTTATAGTTAGCAATCTATTTAGTATTTATTTTTTCTAATTTTAATAATAGTATATACATACAATTTAGTCGGACCATGTTCAAAACGAATCACTCAAACATAGAAAAATAAATTATGATAGTGAAACTAATTTTTATCTATAATAAATTCAAACAACTACCTTGAAACAAGATTATTTTTCTCAGTTCCTTTAAGTTAAAAAAAAAAAAATCGAAAAATAAAAATTTTTGGATAGTTCATTTTTGTATAAATACGTAAATTTAAATATCAGATGAAATAGTTTTATTGATATTAAACTTGTGTCTAATTTATTATTATTAAATCATAGATCATTAACAAATAGGTAATATTTGTATAAAATTAATTAACATATACATTATTAAATATTAATTCAGCTTTATTAGTTTATCTATTCATGATTCAGTTATCATTGTTTTGTTTCTGTCGTTAAAGATTAGTCAGTCTCCAGTGCTCTCGTGAATGGTGATTTTAATTCACAGATTGAACTAAAAAAAAAAAAAAATTAAAGAAACGATACTGACAATAAGTTCTATTTATAGACAGTTTATTAGATCATTATGATAAACAGGTTTGAACAATAACGTAACGGTCAATTGGTATATCATGAATTCATCTTCGTTTTTGGTTAACAACTATATTATCGATTATAGAATAATTTTTAAGGCACCTCAAGACGTTTTATAACTCTTGTTTCTGGTTTTAATAAACTTGAGGCTCATAACAACAATATTGAGACAGAGCATTGACCCCACCGTGCCTGAAGGTGTTTCAAGGTTCCCTACCCATCTTTTCTTACAACAACCCATCACGAATGTTGTTTCAGAAATGGTTGTTAGTAAACTTGGGAAGTTTGGATTCAAACACGGCGGCAAACAGCGTTCGGGGCTAATATTTGTATCCTCATTGACCCCTTCACCTCACATATTAAATTATCCAACATTTATTTAACTTAGGAACCAGGAGAGCGTTACATGGAAATTATCGAATAATAAATAATAAGTCAAATAATAAGAATAATAATGGAAGTATTAGGTGAAATTGTTGACTTTATTTTATATTTTTAGTCATAAGCATTAATATCTTGTATAATGTTGCAAACTAGATATTAATTCATACATGCCAAATATTATGAATATACATTATATATTAGGGGGAGGAGTGAAGCCAATAGAAATTGAAGAAGGTCACAAAATTCATGATTTAGAATATTTAGATAGCTGAGATGTAATCTGATATATTTTGGTTTAAAATTATTCCCCTCCGTCGTAAATCTACAACATCCTCTCCTACCGCATATTTTAACAATATTTTCCTCATCCTTCTCGAACAGATCCGTTACCTAGGAATCCTTCTTGACAAACACCTCACTTGGAATCCTCATATTAGATTGAAAAGACAAGAAACTGCTAAGAGATTCATGCTACTACTACACTTACTTGACAAACGCTCTAAACTTCTAATATTCTACAAAAATCTCATATACACTTCCATCACCAGATCCATTTTTTGATATATGGAATAGAGCTTTGGGGCTCCACAAAACCTTTTCCAATCCTTACAATCCAAAATCCTCCGTAAAATCCTTAATGCTCCTTATTATGTCACAAATAAAATTACTCATACAGACCTCAACATTCCCTTTGTTGAAGACTTGGCCCGACTAAGATACTCCTCTTTTAATTTCAAACTCCTTGGTTACCCTAACCCTCTAGTTCATAACCTATCATTCAAAACAATTCCTGACACCCATCCGAGGCGTATGAAAAGAAGATGGCCAAGGGACCTTCTAAATTAATTTAATTTTTGAAATTGCTACCGATGGGTAGTTTCTTTACAAGTTTTTATCAAGTTTTATTTATCATTTTAGCAGATTTACTTATTTTATATGTATATAGTTGTAAATATCAATAAAAAAAAGAAATTCATAATTTCACCATTAATAAAAAGATTGCTCAAAATCTTGGCTCAAGTCATTAAAAAGTCCCGGATTTAATTTATAATTAAATCCTTGTTTCACTACTTACGGGATTATGATTTTTGGAGGAAGAGCTTTTTCCGAGTTATGATTTTTTGGAGGGAACCACAATTCCCCGTATATGAAAAGAGAGGACAAAAAAAAAAAAAAAAAAAAAAAAAATAGAAAAAAGAAGGAACAGATCATTGCAGGTGTTATCGTTTATAAAATACAATTTTTACGATTCTGCTTTCATTTATATCGTTTTTAAAAATGTAGAGTAATAAAATTTCTTAGGAGGAGAGGGATGATATGCGCCGTTGGGGAAGGGTGGTAGGCACTCCCACCCCCCATAGAAATAACCACCTTCAGAGAGAAATGATTATGTCCATTATTCATGTAAACAACATTGACATTTCAATGAATGAAAATATTGGCTGAACCTTTAAATCTTCTATAAAGCGCATAAAAATAAACATCATTGTAGTATACGGGCGTAACTGGGAACTAACTATCTTATTTCCTTTAGCTGAGTAATTATTCAGTTTATAATCTCATTTAATCAGTAATTGTTCATTTACCTTATAGATATTTAAACATACCTATATTTTTCAATCTCTCATAACAAAGATGATTAACGTTAATGATGATTAGGCGTCTCTATTCACAGTAGGAATGTAAGAGTCTGGTTGAAACCTAGTACTATGGCTGTAAAATGCTGAATCGTTGGCATTGTATGACATTATGTCTCCTTCGACTGCAAGTGTTGAATGCATTTCTTATACGATTTTCATTCTACAAAGCAAAATGATAAAGATGAATTCAATATAGGAAGTTCTTGTGAAATGGACCGGTATAATGCATAAGCAGGATTTTACTACTATAAATAAAATGATTTATCTAAATTAATTACAACTGTTCCGACTGCACCAACACTTGCTAGACAAACGCTCTAAACTTTCAACTAATTACAAAAGACTTATCTACATAACTATAATAAGACATATATGGACATACGGAGTTGAGCTTTGAGGCTCCACCAAACCATCGAATTCCTATCGTATCAAATCCTTATAATCCAAAATCCTCCGTAAAATCCTTAATGCTGAATACTTTGTAACAAAGTAAAACCATTCATAAAGACCTTAATGTACCATATGTCGCCGATTTAGCCCGAGCCAGATATCCATCCTTTCATGATAAACTCTAGTCCCATCCAAATCCCCTTGTTTCCACCCTTGCTTCTTCCTCGATCCCTGATAATCCTCCTAGGCGTCTGAAAAGGAGATGGCCTTGTGATCTTCTAACTTAGAATTATTCAGGGAGTGCTACCAATGGGTAGTATCTCTTCAAGCCTGTACATGTCATTATTTATAATTTGTGCATATTTACTAGTTGTATTTGTATACAGTTGTAAATTTCATTAAATAAACAAAAAAAAATTAAAATTGATAATCAATCAATAATACATTTACCCAAAACAGTTGCAGCATATAATGATATTCTTACCTTCCAAACTTCCAAGAATGTCCATTTTAATCTTTATTTATCGAACTCCCATTATTTTGCATTTTCGCCATTTGGTGTCGACCAGACGAATCCTGCATGGTTCCATTCTCCTGTTGCTATAGCTTACAAAGATCTACAGGCCTTCAAATCTGCTGATGTCATTATCAACTTTACAGGAAAAAGAACATTTAAGCGAAGACAGATTTTATGTTATCCGGACGGACTACATGAAATTGGTATTAATTTCAGTTTTCCTTAATGCCACCTCCAGCGTTAATCTTTATTAATTTGTAATTTTCTCCTTTATAAAAACAAAAAATAATTATTTAAGTAATTAAAATTATTAAACCTTTATCCCAACTGAACTATTTAATGTTGAGCTGGCTTCTATCACATTTAAGTACGTGCTTACTTATAATGAGGCCAGTAATTATTAAGGTTTCAATTTGATGTACCGAACTTATCACTTGTAGGGGTGGCCAGAAATGGGGGATTATGGGGTCACTTGGCGCAAGTTTATCCGTCAAAATTTTTGAGAGAGCAAAATTTGACGGAATTTTCAGAGGTAACTATATTTTTGAGCGGGTTACAATTTTGAGAAACATTTAAACCAGGGTACAAAGAAAAGATGAATCAAACCGTAGAAAGTATAGTTATATATAATAACAACTAGTACAATCTCGAAACAGTCTTGCAGTTACCAGCTTATTACTGTAGAGATATTATTGTAATTTTTTAGATAGAAGAAACCTATCTAAGCCCGAATGAAAAATTAGAGGATATTAAATGCAAAAGTATATTGGTTATACCAATTATTTACATATAGTAACTAAGATTGTCAACTATTGATAACTATTTTGCCTTAATTTTTATTTAAAAAATCGATTTTTTTACCAGTCTAGTCTTGGTCTTGCAACAGTTAGGCGGCCTTGGTATTGGTCTTGCAATAGTTAGGTGGTCTTGCTATTGGTCTTGCAAAGTGCAAGAGCAAGACCGATTTTGGGCAACACTATTGATAACGTAGACCCCATTGAATGTTTTTATTTTTCTTTACTTATTACTTAGTTCATTTTTAACTAATAACGCCCCAATTCCAAGAGTTTCCTTAAATAAGATAGTTGTAGGTTGCTATGAGATGAACCAATTTACGAAGTTACAGGGGGATGTTAATAATTCGATAAAAAGGGGTCTGTACGATGGACTAGAAGACCGACATACTAGAATTTTTTTTTCCATTAATGGCATGTTATACGGTTTTTGTAAATTATCTTTTTTTTTTAAATTAAAATTTGGAGTTTTTGTTTGCAGAGGCACATATATCGAACATAAAGTTTTCTTCAGCAAAACTCTAGGTTATAGAAATTTCCATCTATACGTAAAATGATGGCATTTTTAATTCTAGTTGAACTAATGAATTATAGAAGCATTGATGTTTTCGAACTTTTAGTATCTAATAATTGTCCATTTCTTTCAAAACTTTCAAATGTTTTAATTTAATTTAATTTAGGGCGGTTATACCACGCCCAGTGGTATAATAGCCTTTTTTACCTTAAAATGTCCTTGGGCAATAAAAGGAAATTAAAAATGTTTGTATATATATTTCTTTATGCATTTATATATTGTATAGTAAATAAATTCTTGGGGGGTAGGAAAAAAAAAGCGAATGACAGGATTAAAGCTGTTATAATGATTTGTATCAAAAACTGACTTCGTCATACGACATTAAAATTGCGACGTTACATGAAGTAAAGAAATTTTCATGGGAAATAGTAACATGGATAGGGTACCACCAATCAATGGTAATTATAGCGTTGAAAAAAAAAAATAAAATAAAGTACCATAGAGCGAAAGGAAGGAACTGGGAGCAGAACCTGTTCTGCAGAATTTGACCGCTTAATGGTTCAATTGGTTTTAGAATATCGTTTCATAGCTACGAAAGAAATATCCAGAGATCTTGCAGTAGCCCTCAGGTGTTAAAATAAAATTTTCACTGGGTGATGCGATTGTGTGTGTATGTAGAGAGAGAGAGAGAGAGAGGGAGATCGAGAGAGATCATACCAGAGTATGGACTCTTTAGAATAAATGAAATAATGGATAAAAAAATTGAGATGTATGATTGAATGTATTACTGTTGTATTAGCTCCTCCTACTGCTCATTCTTACAGGGATATCTGGATTTTCATCTTGAAAAAAGTAAGTTACTTAGAAGTGAGAAACATGTAAAAATGAATGTCTGGTCCGTGAACGGTGCAACGACCGCTGCAGCTGGACATACATCGCAATGGTTCTTGGAAGCTGTCGAAGAACTGGAACGTGAGCTCCTCCTGCTTGAGTCACTGGCTGCCTCGTAATTTAAACCTTACACAGAACCGACTAAATGGAACAAGAGTCCCCTCAAGACTCAAGACGTGCATAGTATATTTTCTTTTGTTTTTCCGTATGGGCTTGACTTTTTTTTTTTTATCTTTTATGTTTAATTAACAAAACTGAAATCGGGTAAAAGGGTATTCCATTATGTTTTAGTATTACGACATTAAATCATAAATAAATTTCTTTCCGTAATATTTTTAACGTCGTATGTATTGTTAAACTTTGTCTAGACGGAATAAGTTGAATAATATAACAATTTGTGAAAGAAAATGAACATGAAGATTACAAAAAAATTTATGCATTATTGTTTTATTGGAGTTGTTCTGTTCCCTTCAACTTTTTTTTTTTTTTTCTGTTGGCATTACATACCATGTACATCTTTTGCCCCCTTAACAAGCCTGCGCCATCTCTGCCTTTCTTGGGCTTTCCATTCATCTACACGTAGCTCTGTTGCATCTTTGTTGATTCTATCTATCCATCTGCTTTTTGCCCTTCTATTGAGGCATTCATTGTTATGAAGAGGCTTCTAGATGGATCGCTACGAGCTACATGCCCCGCCCATCTTGAAGTATTCGTATAACGACCTCCTTGCCTTCATATCATGGAATATTGATTGACCATTTTCTCTAAGCAGTTCCTTATTGATCTTTCTTCTCCATGTGTTAGTACTCTGTTCCCAGATCCATACAGTTATAAATTACTTTTTTTAGTTTAATTTTATTCCCCCATCAAGATCAACTTTGGAGCTCAATATCGTCTTGACCGAAATTTTTAAAATCATCTTCATTGGATGCATTGGATGTCAATCTTTCGTCTTAAGAAAGTTGCCTTAAGTTGTCTTAAGAAACTGCCAGTCTAACAACTGCTTCCTGCAGTGCCTGATGCAACGCCTTGATGAAGACCTGCAAGATGGGTCGAAACGTCGGGGAAACAATTGCAAATACTTTTTTAAAAAAAATTTAGTATTTATTTGACCGCACCCCCCTAACAGCTTCTCATCTTAAGAAAGATAATTGAGAAGACATGGAATCGAAACAAAAACATATTAATTGTTTTTCTGGATATAAAAGTCGATATGTCTGATACTCTTACGTATTGGGCACGAACGTATTATGCCAATTGATGGACTAGGCTCAAAGTGCTTTTCAACGGAAAAAAATAGTCAACAAAAGATATTATCTGGGTTCTTTATTCTTCAGCATTTATATGGATGAAATGACCACACTATCTAGGAGAACAGCATGAACACTGATTGATCTATGAAATGTGAGAGACATATTGAGACAAGTAATGGTATATGCCAATGATATTGTTTTAATTAGTGATTTTACACATAATCCCTGAAAATAGCTAGGAGAATGGGAAGAAGAATTCGGCAGGAAGGCCATAATTATTAACGGAATAGCCACACACCTGAACCCGAAGGAATTAATCTTTTAATGATGGGGAGCTTGAAGTCATACGAATTGTTATTTGTGGAAATAATAAAAGAATTGTCCGACAGGGTTGGAAAAGCTAATAATATATATTATTCCATCTGAAACACATGTGGAAAGAAAGAGGTCATGAAAAATCTAAAGCTTCACACATTTTTAAGCCCGAATGTGTGAAGGCTTTTTCTGTAGTATGAAGCAGTGACTTAGTTCCTTCCTGACAAACCTATTATTTGTAACTTATTTATTTGAAGCCAAATAACTGCAGCAGAACTAAAACTATTTCATAATAGTAGATTGATGGTTGGCTGTAGCGAATAATTGAAGAGAAGAATGGTTTTGGTGATCAGTCAAAAAAAAAATGATTGTAAAACTAAATAATTATATTCATTTTTATGTTTGCCGACGTGTAACAGGTAACTGAACGTGATATAAAGCACAGAAAGGTATAAAATGGACAAGAGGTTTATTATAGATAAATTCTATGAGTTATTAAATAAATTTATGATTGATGAGTATGGAAGTAAGGTATCTGGAGATAGTATATACTGTATCCAGGGTATACTATGCAGATTATATTTTAGATTATACAGATTATATTTCACCATCTCCAGCAACCTTATATCCATTCTCTTTCAATTACACATTTATATAATTACTAATAGAATTTATATATAATAAACCTCTCGTGGGTTTCTGTGCTTTAGTTCACGTATTCTAGTTAACCGTTACAGATGGCGATATGTAAGCTCTACTCCTTCCTACTATAAAACTATTTTATATATTATATATTAAAACTATTCAAAACCCCGAATAGATGGAAACAGGAATGAAACCACAAGTGAAGAATCAAATATTCCAGCAGGGAAACAGAACATTTATGCAGAAAAATCCATGATCGAAACCAAAGACAAATTATGAAGACATGACCAGTAAATGGTGTTGACCAAGAAGACCAGTACCGCCTAATTATTGAAAGATCAAGGATAATAAAAAGAATAAATAAAACGTTTTTGTGAATATAAATTAAGGCTAAATAGTTACTAAAACTAGAAAATGTTAGTTATTATATGCAACAAATTGGGAGAGGGGTATCTCAGTGGTAGGGCACTGGTCTTTCAACACTCAAGGTCCCAGGTTCGAATCCCGAATCATGACAGGAAAATTATTTATTCTGTTTCATCAGCCGTGGGGCGACCCTGGGATCAGGAGACCTTCCTGGGGCACGCCCAGCCTCTGTAGAATGGGTACCCTTAATTAAATAATGTATTAAGAGGGAAAATTGTGCCGGTTGTAATAATGGTTGGACTGTAATATGGTTATTTCAATAAAACACCTAAATGCATCTATTCTGTAAAGTTTTTCTCAGATCTAAAGTAACATATTTAATAAATAGCAATAAGGAAATAGGTAACTGCCAAGATCAAGATCAAGACGAGTGTGCATTTTCAATTAAGCAACGTACCAGTAGATACTATGACCTAAAGGAAGACTTAGGCTTACATACAATACCTGTTTATGCAATCAGGATCTAGCGAGGGGCAGGAACAATGGAGATCCTGGATTGGACCAATCCAACGCTAAAAGCCACCAAAAGAAAGTTGAAGAAGAAGAAATTCAATTCAGTCCCAAATTCATAATTTCAATTGTGAACGCAAATTAAATGATATTAAAAAAAACTATAAAATAAAATAAAACAGCACTTATTACGTCAAACATAACATGGTACGAGGTACAGTCACCAATAAATAACATCTCAAAATAGAAAATTTCTTTCAGATTGATAACAACGTTATCATTTGGCCTCGCGATAGTGCAATTACTGTCTAACATGCATACAATGTTATAGAAGATCAATGTTTCTTTTAATCATTTCCCTTTTCATGACTTAATTAAAATTTTATTAATGGTAACTAAATAACTAAAGATTTTTTTACTATTTCAGAGGAATTTTTTTTTTTTATACACAAAGTGATAGTCCGTGGTATAGACCCCTTTTTAACAAATTATTCACATCCGCCTGAAACTTCGTAAATAGCTTCATCTCATCTTAACCTACAACTATTTTATTTACGAAAACTCTCTGAATTGGGGTGTTTCAATCTGGAAATCGGTAAGCATTGTCTATTTAATTAGGCACTAAAAATTCGTAAATACTCATTTACTTTCCACTCAGGTCGTAAAATAATTTGATCATAAAATCGAGAAAAAAGGTGGCCTACAAAGATATTGAACCGTTTCTCCTAAATAACCTCGTTATTTTGACATGTTGGGGATTTAGGTCACGCCAAACGGCCCAATATTTTTGAAGTTCGCCTTTTTCTCGATTTTTGCTCCAGTTATCTTACGATTTAAGTGGAAAGAAAATTTACGAGTTTTTAATACCTAAATAAATAGACAAAGTTTACCGATTTACAAAATAAAAACGCCCCAATCCCAAGAGTTTTCGAAAATAAAATAGTTATAGGTTACGATTAGATTAGCTATTTACAAAATTTTAGGCCGGTTTTAATAAAATAGGTTTGATAAAATGGGGTCTGTACGACGGACTATTACTTTGTGCATTTTTTCATTGTTTTAAATATTTTCGCATAAAAACATTCCATAATTGGAGATTGGCATTGATCTTTGGATCCTACTCATTTTATTTTACAGCCGTTGTAATTTACATAACCAGCTGCTAGTGATTGGCATATAACATACATGTCGGTCTGGATAAATCCAGGTTTATTAGTCTCTCCATTTTCCGTATAAATTTTTTCCATTGTTGTATCAATCATAAAAAATAAAATAATGTTTCGAAAACCATAGGGCGTGAACTACTATTGACAAAAAAAAAGACGAACCGCAAAATTTTATTTTATTGACGTTTCATTTTTAATTAGATTCACATGTTGTTAATTAGTTAGTTAATTAGGATTTCTGTCAACCAACATACAAATATATTCTTTTCTTGTGAAAAATGCAATGACAGATAGATATTAAACACCAAATTCGGATTTCCCAAAAAACATAGCCTGACTAATTTTTTTTTCCCTAGATGATTTATTTTGCTACAAATTAATAAGCACTTGCACAAAAGACTGTCTTTTACTAAAGTAGCCAGTACAACTTTTCATCTTTTAGAACTTCTTGCTTATATTTTTCTTATATGTTTTTACATTTTCTTATTTTAAATTTTATTCTTAGACCAGGAGAACGTTATTGCGAATATTTACTTAACCTAACAAAATTTACTATCACTCGATGTCTTCTAACACTCAATTTTCAATATTTAATTTTTTAACTAGTATTAAATAAATATATACACATTGGTTTTATTTATATACAAAACTATTCTGATATTACAATAGTAAGTATGGGAACTGAATTTGAAATTTTTTTTTTTTTTGTATTGATCTTTTTATTGAGGTGTAATATATTTTACAACACTTAAGGGTATTAAAGCTATAAGGCACATTAATACCATATTTACAATATAATAAAATTTTAAAAAATGAAATACATAAAAATAGATATATAAAAGAATATAATATATACATAACAAA